GAGAAGTTAATTATCTTCCAAGACCTGATTACTTGTTAAATATTGGCATATAATATGGTAATTGGATTTGCTTGTACGAGATAGATTATGACTAGAATCTACAGAATTAAAGACATAATATTCCAAAGCCATTTAAGCCCTTTCGATGCGATTTTATTAATACCTAATTAGTTTGCTTTTTTTAAATATTTATTTAAATCGCTATACTTTTGCTTCGCAACCACATCCGTGAACAATAAAATTAAGTGCAGATTTAATTAATTGCGGTTTGCTTTTTTCCCACTTGAATCCCTTTGGTTCGGTTAAATTTTTTATTATTTTATTAACGAGATTTTGTCGCTGTGTGTAAACAATTTGCATGATTTCATTTTACAATTTTCCGGACGTCGGTCACTTGAATGTTTCTTACAACCCACCACTACCGAACGAAAGTTAATAAAGCTTGTGTTTGTTTGTGTTTGCTTTATTTGTATTAATATTAATGCATCGTAATATGGCCAGATGAGTCGATTAATCCCACAGCTAATTAGAACAGATATTGGCAAACAGAAACCCATAAACCGGTTAGAGTTCCCACCGATGAGAGTGGCTTTTATGGATTATTGGCCATTTCGGGTCATTTTATTATTCAATTTTTACGTCATTTAAATATGTCAGCAAACAAGATTTTTTATGGCCCCGATTTATTTATATTCCGCTCTTTTCCCATTCCTTATAATAACGGCCCAGTTTAACGGCACGATTCCAATAGAATTAATGAGTCGTTATGGGAGCATAAAATATGCCATCGAGGGCAGCTCAAAAATCACCGAATCACCCAATCACCTGTCGCCAGCATTCGAACTGAATTTCATTTCGGGGGTTACAAGAGCAATTAAAATTCAGTTTTATGTTCCCAGGCCATTTACATTCTCAAGTGCTTGAGGGCTTGAGCTCTCCAGATTTTATGTTGGCGGAACAAGCTCTCCAAGAGCCCAAACATGTAACGCCATCGCTAGGGCTATCTTGACTTGAATGGTAGTCTTCCAATAAACTTGGCTAATTGGTTTTGTGGCAGACAGAATTATGTCTTTTTGGACAGTCTTTTACAGTCTATTCCATTTGTTTAATAAGTAATATTTACTCTCCGTAGTAGCTCCAGAACTCCAAGACTTGACGGTCACCTCGGGGATCGTATTACCCATGTAATTAATCCATTATAAGACCTTGCGTGAGGAGTGCCCATTGCATGCCTCTCCGACAAGTTTCGCATGCAAATTATTGCAAGTATGTTGAGCATGCCCAAAAAATCATTACACATTTTTTGTCCGGGACTCTTTCAACAAGTACAACTCATAATCGGCGTTTCTACCACACAAAAACCGAATCGCGTGCTGATGTTGCAAGTTTGCCAGTTGCAACTTGAGACTCTGGTGCCACGTTGCATGCCACGTTTAAAGTTTTTTATTTGCGTGAGTTTTGATGCGATTCTGGTGATTTCCCAGGCAAGGTGTGGAAACTCTTGATCAAAACGAGACCCAGACATTCGTGGCTGCCATGCGTACACTGCGGGAAACTTTGAAGTGTATCAACATGATACTATAAGTGATTTTACCCAGGATTAAAATATTTTTCGCTGTATTTTGGCTACTTTTGGGGCCCGCCTTTACAGACAAAAAATTCGAGTTCGCGAATCCTTTTGGTTAAGCGGCTCCTGGAAAATGAAATGAAGGTGGATACTCCACAAACACACACCAGAATGGTCCGCAATGAAAAGTGAGTGTGGCGCGCAAATGGAATAACTAATTAAATTTTCAACTGCAAATGAACAGGAGCCGGACCAGGAGCTGAAGCAGATCTCTCAGATAGTTCCCAGCCCAACCAACTAACTGCCGGTTTAATTAACTTGGCAGATAAAATTTTATGGCAAGAGCCGAAGCAACGTGCATAGCAAAACATAATCTATTCGCTCTCTGTAATAGCCATTCATGGCCAGAATGGCCGGGTGTCTGAATGGCAGAATGGCTGAATAGCCGAATGGTTGTCCTAATGGTTGTCTATGCAAATATGTTGCAATATCCCTTCTATGCAAAGCACCCAAAAAAATTGGTTCTCGCTTTTATTATTGTGTTCTCAAATATTTTGAGGGTTTTGGGGGGACTCCATTTTTTTGTCGGAGGGGTGTGGCAGCAACACCTTTCCGCGTGGCAAGCATAAATCAAAAGTGAAATTTTTTACACGCACCCAACTGTCTGTGAAAAATGTTTCATTTACATGTGCGCATGTTGCCCGTCGTGGGGTCAGGGTTCATGTCAGCCAGCGAGTGTCCAACAATTTTGTAATTGGTTTTTTTTTTGTGGCTTTTCAATCCTTAAAGCCGTGGAAAATTAAGCTTTGTTAGTAATCGGGGTGTTTTCTGCCAAAATTACTGCTCCATTAAAACACAAACTTTTGCCTTTTTTTTTGCTGTATATTTCGAAGCCATGCCAGTAGGTTAAATTATTATCCTATCTGGAATCTGATAGTCCTAACCAATATGTCCGAGTGTTGTTTTGGAAAAAATGCCAATTCCAAAATTATATAAAATAAAATAACATTAGGTTTGGAGTGTGTTGATATTTTTGAGAGAGGCCGGGGTACTTTTTAGAACCCATGAAGCAGGGCAAAATCCGAGTACCTCCTGAGGTATTTTTTTTGTACCCGACCCCACTGATTACGCCGAAAGGTCTCTGTGGAAAGCTCTATGTTCTTTACTTATTTTCCCGGCCTCTGAGTCTTGCTGCTGGCCCGGCCACTGAGGCGTCCAGAGGTCCGGCAGCCGCCTCCCTTGGTTAAGCTGCAAGAGCACTTGCTGCAGGGGCACTTGCCTGTGGGGCAGTTGCAGGCCGGGAAGTCGCCATTGGAACTGCAGCCGCGGTCGAGGTTCGGGAGCATGTCACACGGGTAGTCCTTGCGATCAAGGCCGCCGCTAGGGGAACTATCCTTCTGATACATGGCTCTCGTATCGCCCGGGCCCTGTATTTAAAAGGGTTCTCTAGGCGATTGTAATATTTGTAATATAATAACTTACCTCTCCAGTGTTTACTGAGTAGGTATTGTTTTCGTATTTTTATTTCCTACTCCGAGGTTCCAAGGCGGAAATGTGGAAAAAACATAAAACTGTTCCATTTAAAAATGTCCAGTGTGCTTGGAATGTGAAGGTTAACTGACGATTGGGAGAGCCGGACCAGGGAACCTGGATTTGACAGCTGTCACTATGGATTCCATAGCCTGCTTGCTCGAAGGAATTTCTAATCAATTAGGTTTCTCCTCAATTTATCACTTTCCTCCCAACCTGCTGCAGTAATTGGCCTTTTGCTCCTGCCCATGTTTAATGAGTGCTTAGTGGTAGTTGGCAACATCTAATGTGCATATTACAATGCCAATTAACATATTTTGCCAGGCCGCTTCGCCAGGCAATCACTCCCAGAGTCACTCTGTTGGTGGTCACGTTTCACCGGAGTGGGCCTTGCATAATTGCGTCGCCAAGTGCAGCTCCCAGGTTCCAGTGCCCAGTGCCCAGTCCCACTCCCCAACTCGTAAATAACCCCACTCCCATTTAACATATAGTAGATGTTAACTCACACATGCAACTCCCCCAGTTGCTAGTACCTTTTTTCCAGTATTTTTCATTCGGTTTTGTCTAGCCAGGCATTATGCAAATGGCACTTTGTTTTAACTGCGTGCTCTGCGGTTGGCCGATGGCTTTCAGACTGGCTCTGGCGCTGACTCTGTATCTGTGGCTGACTCTGGATAGGTAACCGCCAGAGATGGCCAAGGTTCTGTACAAAAAATATCATATAATGGCCACCTATTTGAGGTATTTAATTTAAATTGAAAAGTCTGCAAGGTGGAATACTTTCCCTAGCCCTTGTTTTCAGCATCCCTGATCCCTGAGGGCAGTACCTTTGTGACATTAGTTCATCATTATCATTACCAAGTTGCAACTCCATGTAACGACGAACACATCTGCCTGCAACATTACGCGAACAATTAATATGCCAAGTGTTATGTGTGCGCATACTAATGACTCTCATTCCTGGCCAGGTCCATATACTTCAGCATCCATTCAGAGCAGACCCTCGACCATCCATCCATCAATTACTGGCCATTTCATTTGCGCAGGCGCAACGGCGCCGCCTCCGCAGGCTTACAAGTTGTTTTTAATGATCCAGTGGGTCGTGGCTACTTACGAGTCTGGGACTCATGACTGGGATGTGTCCAGGGCAGGATCGTTAATCTCAACCCTGACAGTTTCATGGCTCTGGGAAGGGCAGTTGGGCTTTTAAGTGAAACCTTATATTTCCCTTTTTACTTCGTATCTAATTCCCAGGGCAGTATCATATAGGTTTTTGCCCCAAAAACTCAACCACGTAGTCGCTGGAAGTGTAAACATTTCCACAAACTGTCTCAGCTGATTACGCTGTTGACACACAAACAACGAAACCTCCAAAAGTAGCCCCAATAATATAAATCAAAAGAAAGTAAAATTACAATGCGTCGTCGGGGCCATTGAAACACGAAACACAAAAAATAATCATTTCAATAAATTGTAAAGTAGGAAAAAAACTTTCGCTACTTCAGTGGCGCAAAAAAAGAGCCAATGGATGAGTGGCTTCGATTCTGTTTTGTTTTCTGAGCCGATTGAAGTATCATGGTCAAGTGGGGTTCGAGTGGATGCCCTGGGGCGCCCACGCATGCGCAGAATACAAATGCAAATCAAGACAAGAGGGGCACTGTAAAAAATGACCGAGTATCTTTTTTCAGAAAATATTCCTTAACGAAGGCAACAATATCTATAGATCGAGAGAAACTTCTAAAAACATTCAATTTTTCCTATAGAGTTGTATGTTAAACTATACGCCGCTTTTTTCAGTGGAAATCGAATTGGCAAAGTGGACGTGCCACCGGCCAGAACCACTTTTTTTCTTTCTTTTTTTTTTTGGTGAAATGCCGCTTTCAAATGCTGGCACCACCACAGCCCGATCAGTTTGCCGAGAGCCACGCGAGTCGGTGGTGTCGCCGTGGAGAAAGCCGCAAAGTCTAGAGAAATGAGTCGAGCCTGGCGCTTCAGTTTGCTGATCTTCTGCCTGGCGTTCAGCTGCCTGGCTGCCCAGGATGCAGGACTAGGTCTGGGCCCGTCTCGCCCAGCCGAGGCAGCCAATCCCCTGCTAAAACAATCCCAAAACACCTTCATACAGTGGGTTCTGTCGCTGCTGCCCCAGAGACCCGGAAGCTCTGATGCCGAAAATGCCACTCTGGCCACCTTGAGCAGTAGCTCTATGACGCCATTGGCACCCAGTACGACCTCAACCACCACCACCACCCCGGCACCTTCATCGAGCACCACCACTACCCGGAGAGCGGCAACAACCCCAGCCCCACCCACCTTGGATCCTCCCAGAAACTGCAGCGACTGTCTCTGTGGAATTGCAAACATCCAGAAGAGGATCGTCGGTGGCCAGGAGACGGAGGTGCACCAGTACCCCTGGGTAGCCATGCTGCTGTACGGCGGCAGGTTCTACTGCGCCGCTTCCCTACTGAACGACCAGTTCCTCCTTACCGCCTCTCACTGCGTCTACGGGTTCCGGCGAGAGAGGATCTCGGTACGGCTGCTCGAGCACGACCGGAAGATGTCCCACATGCAGAAGATCGACCGCAAGGTAGCCGAGGTGATCACGCATCCAAAGTACAATGCCCGAAACTATGACAACGACATAGCCATCATAAAGCTGGACGAACCGGTGGAGTTCAACGAGGTACTGCATCCAGTTTGCATGCCGACGCCGGGTCGGAGTTTCAAGGGCGAGACGGGCATCGTAACCGGGTGGGGGGCACTTAAAGTGGGTGGACCCACATCCGATACACTCCAGGTAGGTCCCGGCGCTATGAATCTTGAATACTTTTCTATAAAGGCAACCTTTTCTTGCCACTTTCAGGAGGTTCAGGTCCCAATTTTGTCCCAAGACGAGTGCCGCAAAAGCCGGTACGGAAATAAGATTACGGACAATATGCTGTGCGGAGGATACGACGAGGGCGGCAAGGACTCCTGCCAAGGAGACAGCGGCGGTCCCCTGCACATCGTGGCCAGTGGAACGCGAGAGCATCAGATCGCCGGCGTCGTCTCCTGGGGCGAAGGCTGTGCCAAGGCTGGTTATCCTGGAGTCTACGCCCGGGTGAATCGCTATGGCACCTGGATCAAGAACCTCACCAAACAGGCTTGCCTCTGCCAGCAGGAGACCAAGAAGATCAAATAGTGGATTGTAAAACTATGAATACTCTTGTCTGAAAGGGGGAGAAGCATACCCACTATTGAAAACTCTCTAAGTTCCTTTCTGAAAGATATGTTTTCTTAACAAAAAGCCTATCATTTCCCCAAAAAGAAAACAGAAAGCGCTCACCAAGAAATGAATTATTTTCACCGAAAATAACTTTAATCTTTCTTGGAAGGTGTGGCCTCTAAGGATCGTAGGTTTCTCCACTTTGGCAAGAGTATCTAGACTTCGGCTCCGTCGAAGATCTCCCATTCTCAAGCTGTTTTATATTTATTGATTAAAAGAAAAGTTGCCACAAAGTGCGCTAACCTCCTCTGGGAAGCCGGTTTGGGCGGTGGGATTGCCATCGGGATTCTGGTCAAGCCAGTTCTGGGGTTCTATTTCTGGGAGTCCAAGTCTTCGGCCAGGATGTCTTTCGATTAGTTGCCAACTGCTAGTTGGCCAAGAAAGTTCGCCATGGCTTACCTCGCACTCGTTCTTATCGCCACTCTGGCACTGGGAGACTTGAGTCTCTCGAAGCCATCGGAGCCGGAGAAGATTCTGGCCTCCTTGTCCCAGCTGAGACAGAGCAGCTTTCTAGACTGGATCCAGTCGATCCTGGGCCCCGAAGTTCCCGCCGAGTGGAGCATTCCGGCCAAGAGAGACTGCGCCGAATGCTCTTGCGGTAACATCAATACCCGCCACAGGATCGTGGGCGGGCAGGAGACGGAGGTGCACGAGTATCCCTGGATGATCATGCTGATGTGGTTCGGCAACTTCTACTGCGGCGCCTCCCTGGTGAACGACCAGTACGCCGTAACGGCTGCCCACTGCGTTAATGGCTTCTACCACCGCCTCATCACGGTTCGCCTCCTGGAGCACAACCGGCAAGACAGCCACGTGAAGATCGTAGACCGCAGAGTGTCCAGGGTGCTGGTTCACCCCAACTACAGCACACGCAACTTCGACAGCGACATCGCCCTGATCCGATTCAACGAGCCAGTGCGCCTAGGCATCGACATGCACCCGGTCTGCCTGCCCACTGCCAGCGAGGACTACGCTGGGCAGACAGCTGTGGTAACTGGGTGGGGCGCCCTGAGTGAGGGCGGTCCTGTCTCCGACACCCTCCAGGAGGTGGAGGTGCCCATTCTCAGCCAGCGCGAGTGCAAGGACAGCAACTACGGCGAGTCCAAGATCACCGAGAACATGATCTGTGCCGGCTATGTGGACCAGGGCGGAAAGGACTCCTGTCAGGGCGACAGCGGCGGTCCCATGCATGTCCGGGGCTCCGGGGAGGCCTACCAGCTGGCCGGCGTTGTTTCCTGGGGTGAGGGTTGTGCCAAGCCCAATGCCCCGGGTGTCTACACTCGGGTGGGCAACTTCAACGACTGGATCCAGGAGAACACCAGAGACGCCTGCTCCTGTGCCCAGCCAGAGTCTACGGAGTCCTCCATGAACACCACCGAGCAGGGCGAGCCGCAGCAGAATACCTCCCCCGGAGAAGCAGATCCGGAAGTGGAAGAGGCCAACAAATTGGTTTGAAATCTAATAAACTTTTTTTTAAAGAAGCATCAAATTACAATAAAGATTAACAGAAAATGTATAAATGTAATTTTTTTGAGGGATTGATGCAGAAGATGTGGGACTACCAAGATTCCGCGCAAGAATCGGATACATTTTGGCAAAGATATAGCCATCCCAATGGGCCCTACTGTAGTCCCCATGCATTTTCCACATTTTGAAGGGGCCTCGCCAGGAAATTTGACAAAAAATCAAAAAAAAATTGTGTCTCAGGTTTTGATGCAGATTGATGGAGAATTGATCTCCAAATCGTTTAAGGCATTCCGCTCAAGAATCGGATTCATTTTGGCTAAGATATAGCAATCCCAATGGGCCCTACTGTAGTCACCATGCATTTTCCACATTTTGAAGGGGCCTCCCCAGGAAATTTGACAAAAAATCAAAAAAAAAATTGTGTCTCAGGTTTTGATGCAGATTGATGAAGAATTGATCTCCAAATCGTTTAAAGTATTCCGCTCAAGAATCGGATTCGTTTTGGCAAAGATATAGCTATTGCAATGGGCCTACTGTAGTCCCCATGCATTTTCCACATTTTAAAGGGGCCTCCCCAGGAAATTTGACAAAAAATCTAAAAAAAAATTTAGTCCCAGGTTTTGATGCAGATTGATGGAGAATTGATCTACAGATCGTTTAAGGCATTCCGCTCAAGAATCGGATTCATTTTGGCAAAGATATAGCTATTGCAATGGGCCTACTGTAGTCCCCATGCATTTTCCACATTTTAAAGGGGCCTCCCCAGGAAATTTGACAAAAAATCTAAAAAAAAATTGAGTCTCAGGTTTTGATGCAGATTGATGGAGCATTGATCTACAAATCGTTTAAAGTATTCCGCTCAAGAATCTGATACATTTTGGCAAAGATATAGCTATCGCAATGGGCCTACTGTAGTCCCCATGCATTTTCCACATTTAAAGGGGCCTCCCCAGGAAATTTGACAAAAAATCTAAAAAAAAATTGGGTCTCAGGTTTTGATGCAGATTGATGGAGAATTGATCTACAAATCGTTTAAGACATTCCGCTCAAGAATCGGATTCATTTTGGCTAAGATATAGCAATCCCAATGGGCCCTACTGTAGTCACCATGCATTTTCCACATTTTGAAGGGGCCTCCCCAGGAAATTTGACAAAAAATCAAAAAAAAAATTGTGTCTCAGGTTTTGATGCAGATTGATGAAGAATTGATCTCCAAATCGTTTAAAGTATTCCGCTCAAGAATCGGATTCGTTTTGGCAAAGATATAGCTATTGCAATGGGCCTACTGTAGTCCCCATGCATTTTCCACATTTTAAAGGGGCCTCCCCAGGAAATTTGACAAAAAATCTAAAAAAAAATTTAGTCCCAGGTTTTGATGCAGATTGATGGAGAATTGATCTACAGATCGTTTAAGGCATTCCGCTCAAGAATCGGATTCATTTTGGCAAAGATATAGCTATTGCAATGGGCCTACTGTAGTCCCCATGCATTTTCCACATTTTAAAGGGGCCTCCCCAGGAAATTTGACAAAAAATCTAAAAAAAAATTGAGTCTCAGGTTTTGATGCAGATTGATGGAGCATTGATCTACAAATCGTTTAAGGCATTCCGCTCAAGAATCGGATACATTTTGGCAAAGATATAGCTATTGCAATGGGCCTACTGTAGTCCCCATGCATTTTCCACATTTTGAAGGGGCCTCCCCAGGAAATTTGACAAAAAATCTAAAAAAAATGGAGTCTCAGGTTTTGATGCAGATTGATGGAGAATTGATCTACAAACCGTTTAAGGTATTCCGCTCAAGAATCGGATTCATTTTGGCAAAGATATAGCTATCGCAATGGGCCTACTGTAGTCCCCATGCATTTTCCACATTTTGAGAACCTCCCCAGGAAATTTGACAAAAAATCTAAAAAAAAAATTGTGTCTCAGGTTTTGATGCAGATTGATGGAGAATCGATCTACAAATCGTTTAAGGTATTCCGCTTAAGAATCGGATCATTACTGGCAAAGATATAGCCATCCCAATGGGCCCTACTGTAGTCCCCATGCATTTTCCACATTTAATTCTAGATATTTTGAAGAGGTCTTTTTTAAAAATCAACAAAAATCGATTAAAAATTTTTATTTAGGGTACTGATGCAGAAGAATAAAGAATTGAAACACCAATATATTAACGTATTCTTCTGCGGAATACGAGTTAAATTGGCAGAGCTGTAGCCCTTGGCTAGTGTCATAAGTATAACCCAAAGGTCATGGATTGAAGGACAATACTGCGATCATCTACGAGTTCAATTAGTCGGCCGAAAAGCAAAAGATAAATCTCTGAAAAGACTCTGGCAGCTTCCTCTGACGATGGAGGATAATGAATAATCACGGTAATGCAGAGATATCTCTGAGGGGCTTTGCTTTTTAAGGCCAGTTTCACTTTAGCCAGCTTGTTAACTGCTCCACTCAAAGAGCTCACACTCGCGCCTCAATTTCCGCCTGTAATCTGCTTGTTTTCAAGTCCACCCTCGGGGCACTCGCCAATTTTTGCACCACGAAATTGCCACTAAATCAAAAAGCGTTCATGCAACCAGCGGCCGCAACCGCAGACACCTACACGCGGCACTCAAAGGGGCATGCCCCTTACGATTTTTGTGTTGTGGGTCTGCCCCATTGGGCCCCGAACATTGATAAATAACTAAATAATAGAATAAACAGCTGGCAAAGGTGCTAAAACTTAAAAGGCGGATAAAATGGAATCATATTGTTGGATATTGAAGTTTAAATACTCTACTAAAGGTATTAGAGAATAAAAGAGGTTATTTTTGGTTTGATTGATTAATCAACGTTTTATTCGAATATCTTATACACTGATAAATACCAGAGTAAGGGTATAAAAATGTACTTTTTTAAGTTGATTGTGATGTGCATCCCTTTGGCCTTTTGCCACAAAATTGCCTGCAATCCAGCTGAATTTTGGTTTATTTTATTCTTACCCTGGCACCGCCCAGCCTGCCGCAGGTTAGAAAAAGTTTATTGGGGCATAAAATTGTTCGATTGAATATTAGTGGGCCCCTCCTCCACCCGCCACCCTTTTGAAAATTGAGGTTTCGACAGTAATGGCATATTAAAACGATTGGCTCGATATGTATTGCAAAATTTTGAAGTCACAGAACAGTACAAAGAGGAAAACTAAATATATAGAGTGAGTGCAGACCTCAGACCATTCCAGCTGCATGCAGGGCATTTCCCACCGTGTTCGTGACAGCAAGGACGGCGAGGAGGGCGGACACCAGGATCTTCTCGGTTACGAGAAGGGCCATGTCAATAATGTTGGCTGCGGGCTAAGGCGCTTTTTGGAGACATTATTCAAACGACTGCGAACCTGGCTAGTTACCTCGAGGAAAGTTACAGCCATACTGATCGTGTATTGGGTCAAAATCACGCTGAGACCTATGCAGGTGATGAGACCCATTATTGTGATCAGGGTCAAGGCCTCCACAAGACGCACGGCCACAGGCATTCTCTGGACTTTTTGATTTTGAATAACAGAATTGAATTTTTTTTTGTAATTTTTGATCGAAACAATAATAAAAAGTCATTGTGAGGGGAAAATCAAAGCCTACAGATTACTGAAATTAATGCCGCTCTTCTGCTATGAACCCTTTTGTTCCTGGGCCTCCGCAAATTATAGTTTTTCAATCATTTTTTTATGGGGAACATGCGACAGTTTCCAATTACTCTATGCAAATGCAATTTGTCTGGACTGCGTGCCATTTGGGTTCACCCATAAACCTCATGTGCCACGCCCCCTTTAATGGGTGTTTTGTTGTGTCTGGGCGGTCTGGCATAGATTGCTTTGAATTATGGCACTAAATGGCTAGACATGTTACATAATTCATTTAGTCTGCGCGGGGACAAATTCCATGTGTATCGCTTCATTTCACTCTCTTTGCGCTTTTCCATTGAAAATGAATCCCTTTCCCTGGACATCCATCGAACAATGGAGCAGTGGATTTATTCATTATACGAGTAGTCTATATAGAGCGATATATGGCCAATTCAATTAGCAGCAAGTGGGGCAAAAAATTAATTGATTTTTCCCGTGCGAATTCTCGGCCTAAGTCGGCTTTTATTAAGATATTTTTTCAAGTTTGGCAGTCATTTTCATAAAAATCCCAGTGCAAATATTTGCACAGACTGGCAGAAAAATATGCGAAGAGTTCCAAGGCAAGTCCCTGACGAAGTCCTGCCCAGGGCCAGGTCCTGGCAAAAAGGCAAAAACGAAATTAAAATAAGGCGAAATGAAATGTTGCTTTAGGTTGCTTTCGTCTTGCAATATTTACATCTTATTGTATTTGATATCTTTTGGGATGTCGGAAGACAGAAAGCTCATATTAGATGCCGTAGAGTGCCATGACAGTAAACTCAAAAGAAATTAATTAAGTTTCTACAACCCGAGGTGTCATTACAAAGGGATTTCTTGCCTTCCTATTTTCCTTGAGTTTTTTTATTGGAGTCTTGTATAATGTTTGGTAGGAACTCCCCGGACCAGCGGTTGTACATGTGCAGCTCCTGCTTTGAGAGGTTCCACTGGGATGATCTCTCCAAGAAGGAACACCACTGCCCTCGTTGCCGCATTCCCGCCAAGTTCTGCGCCAATTGCGATCAGCTTTTCGAGCCCCGAGAGAAGTCGGTGCCTTACTGCAAGCGCTGCGATTACTATATGCAGAAAAATGTGGCTGTAAGGCCCCAAGTCCTGGACCGGCCCGAGGAGGAAGCCAGGACCACCTCCTCCTTCGCGGAGCGCTGGGAGGAGATCAAGACGAACACTGGAATTGTGGACGACATGTACTTGAGCGAATGAATGGCCCACTGAAGCGTAAAAATAAATCAAAATTCAAGACCACCGGATGTACCACCTGCGATTTAAATATTTATTTGTGACGAAAAAACCAGAGTGCAGCTCAAAGGATATAAACTGTCGCCAGCTGGTCAGGAAGTCCATCTACGCTTCAATAAATCATTTTTACAATATCAGAAAATGTACTTTAAGAGACTTCTCTGAAAATACAATTTAATAAATTCAATTGAAGCATTTTATAATTCAGACAACGAAAATGGTTTTTTTTTTCGACGAGAAATCGAAAGCTCATTAGAATTCCCAACGAAAGGCAAACAATTTTCTCAATGTCCTTCGAGTCCTATTTCAGCAGCTAGTCCTGCAGTGTGTTTCTGTGTCTGTTGTTTTCATTCCTTTGATTTCATTATTATTTTTATTGCTTCGGACTTGCTTCTTTGTGTCCAACTGACTGAGTCCGAAGCAAAGGCGCCTTTTTAATTTTATTATTTCTGTTTGGTTTCGTTCCGACGACCACACCCCACGAAACCCCTCGAAAAAATTCGCATAAAAAAGGGTATTCAAGCCAGGGCATTCACTTGATTGTATGGAATATTTTTTCCATGGCTTATTCTCATTTTTCTGCCACAGTTTTTGGCACATTTTCAAGGCAGCCATAGACACTTGCCACATTTTTATACATTTCGTTCGCTTTGAATTTTTTTTCCTCTTATTAAGAATTAATAATCTGTTTTTTTTTCTGCCATAAGCTGGCTACAAATTTGGCATTTTATATTTTTTTACGATTGTACGGAGTCCCGGGGTCTGAGGAAGGGGGGCACTGGAGGTCCCGCCGCCCATGAATCATGGTTATGCCGGCTATAATTTAGTTTTAATAGCATTTTCGGTGACATTTATGCTGTCAGCGCGTCATCCAATTTTATTAATGTCCAAATGAGCCTCGCTATATGTGATACGACTCTATGATATCATAATGAAACGATTTAATGTCTTTTTCTGTTTTCTTTAAATTAAGTTATGGGCTTCTGGTAGCTGGTAGCTATTTGGAGCAACTTTTTGAAATCCCCTCACCAAAACGCCAGTAGATACAATAAAGAAAATGTAGTTTCCACAAGAACTGAAAACCTGGCTTACTCGAGCCCCTCCATTGTTCACACTCAGTTAAAGCCCTTTTCTCGCCATTATTCTGGCCCGCTTCTTCGTGGCTCGTTTTCAATTTGCCCGAGTCCGGTGTCGGAACTTGGCTTTTAATGAGACGCCACAAGGCAAGTGCAGCAAACGCGAACCTAATCATCTCTGGCTCACTTAAGTAATAAAGCAATTTACCGCCTTTCAATATCCCTTAACCATTTTTTATCTTTTTATCCGGTCTTGGTTCTGGTTCTGGACCTGCAGCTGGAGCTGGTCCACCTCCACCCAAGAAAAGCCAACCCCCAGGGTGGGCAACTCCCACACAAATTATTTTCCCGCTGGTTTCCACTTTGTCGGGCGTATGTTTTCTTTTTTTTCCGCACTTTGTTCCTTCTCCTCTTGGCCAGCTTTTTATTGTTGGCCCAAAGAGGCTCCGCCATGCTTTCGACTTGTCGCCTCACGTTGCCATTTTTATGGTCCAGGAGGAGCCGGAGGAAGCTCTGGGGGATATGGTGAGATGAGGAGTCAGGATAGTGATGACTCAATAAATATACTTATGACTTTTTTTATAAGAATTACTTGACTAATATAAGGTAGTTTTTATAAAGAAAACGAGGGATATAGGTTTAAAGTCAGAGGGTGACTACCGGGTATCCTATAGTCGTTAAACCCTTTCGATATATTCTTTTAGTTACCACAACCAATGGAGCTTGTCCATTCTGTAATCTTCATTTAGCCATTTTATTTTGGCCAACACTACTGAGCATATAAAGCCGCAGGATGCCTCTGGCGTTGCCGGACTCTTTAGAGTTTGATTTTAGTGCCAGGATTGGCAAAAGCAAAAACGGAGAAAAAAACACAAGCAGACTGGCAAGCCAAAGAGCAGACTTTGTCCTGGACGATGTGCTTCTGGTTCTTGTTCTTGGGTGTAATGATTTTATTACACGATTTCCTATCGAATTTTATTACCTTGGTGCATGACGCTGCGCCAGGATTGCGCGCCATGTCCTTTATGCCCTTTTTAGCCCTTGCGGCCATCGAAATGGAATTTACGCACTCATAAAATTTCGCCCCAGCCCTCGTCCTTCGCCCCTCGACCCTTTGAATTGTGTGGGAATATTTGAGATGGCCAAGTATGCGCCCTTCCTGCCATAGTCCATACCCCAGTCCATCATAATTCAATATCATAAAACGTTTATCCAATTAATTTCGCCTGGCCAATATTTATGATCGGTTCGTGCAGGCAGCTCTTTGAATATTTACAAACCAATATGAAGGGGAGAGTATGAAAAACTCTAGCTCTGGAATACATGATATTTAATTAAAATGGTTTCAAATAATAATTGACTAATTGGGGCGCTGATATAGCTACAGATGGATTCTATCTCTGAAACAAGCAACTGTCATTCATCGATCAATCCAGCCCAGACAATTGCCGTTCTGCGATCTACATTGATCTTGAAAATCTATCCAGCAAATGTACAGCTGACATGCTTCAATGGATCTGGAATTCTATATATTATATACGTTTGTATTATACATCGGATGACCTAATCGAGTTTGATTTCCAATTACGATTATGCTGGCTGGCACTTTTGCTAATGAGCCACCCATATCATCCACTTCCATGTTGCTTTCAGTGTCAAGTTCATGTTGGCCATGTTGCATGCAATGTTTCCAATGGCTGCATGCCAAAACTAATGGGCTTCCCCGTGCCTATGACGATGATTTGACGGTTTGCCAGCCCCGCCAGATACAGATACGTAGTTTTAATCCAAAACTACACTGATTCGTAGTCGTATGTGGGTCGTGCTCAGTCAGAGTTGAAATTATGGCTTCGGTTTCCATATTTTCATACCCATTTTTTGATGTTGCAATGCAAGTCTAGGGGGCTGAAGGAGGGGTGGCCAGTTCAGGGTTCAAACAAAGCTCTCATTAAATACTAGTAATGGGTGTGAGAAATATTTTATAATGGTTTATTGTTGTACAATAAACTAGATGGGTTTAATGCTTCCTTTTCGCATTAATTTCTAGAGCAACTTCTGTTTGGCCTTCAAGTGCACTAAGGGAAATTGCTTTAAACTTGTCATATTATATTTATCTTAGTTGATTGTAGCTTAAAGCTGATTTCTCACTGTGTAACACTTGGCAATTCGTTCAGGCAACAGCAATGTCAGTGCCTCAAAATGAAAAACCCATTAAATGACATGCATACGTGCGGGAAATAGATTTAGCTTTGGATTTGGACATACCGACGGATATAGCCGACAATTTATATCTCTCGGTAACTGAGATTCTCTCCGATTTCTCTATTTCTCTACCGTTTTCTCTCTCGCGATCTGCTCCACGGTGTGGCGCTTTATGACGTCACTTGGCAGCGAGCTTCTGAACCGCAACAGAAATCTGAATATCTGAATATGTACCTAACAAGCCACCTACCTACCCATCTACCCATCTAACCGTCTATCTATGTATCTTTGCATCTGGCAAGTTCATAGTTAAATGATTCTATTCGCTGCCATACAAATTATTTCGCTCAGAGGTTCAGTTTTTGTGCGAACGCCGAACTGGGCAAATGTGCGCACTGGAGAGATCGAAGAGGATACAATAATGGCTTACAACATAGTCCTAGCAGTGGTCCTTGCCCTCAACTTAGCTGGAGGGGTGGTGCAGCATCGATCCTTGGAGGATGCCCGCCTGGAACGCCAACATCTGACCCACAAATACATCAAGCTGCTGAACAAGGAGGAGGGTGCCATTCGCCTCGTGGGCGGCGACAATGAATACGAAGGTGGGTTTCCATCCATCACTCCCTTAACCCATATCCTTTGGCTTTAAACTATATCCCCTTTGTCCAGGAAACATCGAGGTCCTGCACAACGGCAAATGGGGCGCCGTTTGCGATGATGAATGGGACTCCGCCGAAGGTCACATTGTCTGCCGGCAACTGGGCTTTCCCGGCATGCGGCGCCTCACAAGGAGCGGCTACTTTGGGCCCGCCCGGCGTCGGTTCTGGATGGATAACCTCTTCTGCGAGGGTCACGAGCAGGAACTGGTGTCCTGCCACTTCGAAGGCTGGGGCGAGAACGACTGTGAGCCCGGGGAGGCGGCCGGCGTGATATGCTATCCCCCGGAAAACGCCGTGATCCCTCTGCCAGTACCTATCCTGAGGGAGGAGGACCTGCCCAAGTACCCTATCCATGCTCGCTCCAGGTTGTACGTCAGACTAAGGGGCGGGCGGTCCCGGAACGAGGGTCGAGTGGAGGTTAGCCTAGACGGTGGCCGGTGGGGAAGTGTCTGCGCCGACGGATGGTCCCTCCTCGAGGCCAACGTGGTATGCAGGCAACTGGGACTGGGGTACGCCAGCGAGGCCTTCCAGACGGACTTTTTCGGTGGCATCAACGTCTCCCGGCCTGTTCTTAGTGGCAGCGAATGTTTCGGCAACGAAACGGAGCTGGCCGATTGCCTGCATCACGATGTGCGGCAGGGAGTGGTCAGCTGCCACGGCAACAGGCAGCATGTGGCAGCTGTGATCTGCGACTTCAGGTCCCCGGATCTGGTGGTGGACTACCTGGAGATCGAGCAGACGGCCCACCTGGAGGACCGGCCCATGCTGCTGATGCAGTGCGCCATGGAGGAGAATTGTGTGGCCAATGAGGCCTACCAGATCCAAAGAGACGATCCCCATTGGCGGTACAGATCCCGGAGGCTGCTGAAGTTTACGGCTGCTGCCATAAACGCGGGAAACGCCGATTTCCGGCCCTTTAAGGAGAAGAGCCAGTGGGAGTGGCACATGTGTCATATGTAAGTGGAAGTCTGAGGAGCACTTACTCTTCTTACTATTCAATCTTTTCAGGCACTTTCACAGCATGGAGGTGTTTGCTACCTTTGACATCTTCGACCTCAGTGGCCGGAAGGTTGCCCAGGGCCACAAGGCCTCCTTCTGCTTGGAGGACAGCAGCTGCCTACCAGGAGTGCCCAAGAAGTATAGCTGCGCCAACTACGGAGATCAGGGTAATAACTAGAGCTTGGAAAAGTCTTCAGATTTAAGCCTTTCAACCATTACTTGACAGGCATTTCCATCAACTGCTCTGATGTGTACCTCTACAATCTGGACTGCCAATGGGTGGACATCACAGACCTGAGCCCCGGGTCCTATGTGCTGAAGATAGCCATCAACCCGGAGTTCAAGGTGGCCGAAATGAGCTTCGACAACAACGCTGCCATCTGCGATCTGATCTACACGGAAAACCTAGCCCGCGTGTTGAACTGCCAGCTGGGCAGACCGTGAAGGTGGACCGGAAGTGGAAACAAATCAAAGTGCCAAAAACTATCTTTAACCAAAGGGAGCTTGTATATTTTCTACCATATACCATATATCTTTAACGAAATTAAAAGTGCACATTTCACAAAGGTCTTGAAAGTCAGTGGGGTGTGATGTGTCGCCGTGACATTGAGACCCTCGGGTTGTCGGAGGCATCCAAGCATCTATCAAGTTAAAGGCGTTGAAGTGGAACTACCAGTGATACAGGTCAGGAAGAGGTAAAGGGATGAACACATTTTAAATAAAGATTTATTTTAATAAAAGTGTGTTTATCTTGCAATTCAATCACTTTAGCCCCACTTGCCCCAGACTGCTTTTCAAACTATCGTAGACGGTCTCGGTTATTGATTACTTGGCAGTAATTTAGGAAACCTTTGACAACCAACTAACCCGACTCATCAATAAGGAGTCCGACTTAACCCATTCGACTCCCTCCTGCCTCTAGGACCAAGTCAAAAATGCAAATACACTTCCTGTTAAGCCGAAGGGAAGTCTCCTTAAGACACTTCCTCCGAGTTCGGAATGATTGATTGCGTTGGAGGAGCTCTTAACCCCAAAAATTTAATTAACATAAGCGGTTTATGCGGGGCCTAGACCGGAATGGAGCAAAACAAAAAGCTTTTAATTTGTGTTTCGTTTGGAGATTAACAAATCAATCAAAGTGCGAAGAGGACTCCTCCCTTGGAGACTCCCCTCCAAGGCAAGGATTAAAATCGGGGAACAAGTTCCCACAAAGCACTCGACTATCGTCGAATCAGTCAAAGTCGGGGAGGAGCTAAAAAATAAATGATAACTGGGCAGAGAGCAGTCAAGTGTTATGGAGCAAGTCCTTCCTGCTATCAGGACACGTGCACACACATACCAGCCACCCCACGCAGATCAAAAAGAGCGGCCCGGCCGAGGGTGGGTGGACAAACAAGCATATAAATAATTGAAATGTTCACTCACTGACCCTGCAAGAACACTCTTAGAAATTCAAATAATGAATATATGAAACCAAAGTCTTATAGCTGGTTGCTCTGAACCATTTTTCTCAGTGCCACTATCTCTTCTATATGCTTTCTCCAGAGACTTGTATATTTTTGCGAAATTGCAGCACTTGCGTGGTTGGGCGATGGTGGCCAGTGGTGCAGATGACCCTTAGTCCCTGGCATTAAGCAATCAAACGTTTGATTTTCATTTATCGTGTAATCAAGCGTAAAAATAGCTTCGTGACCAAAGTGACTCATCATCATCATCCTGACATGCGGGCACGTGTGTGTGAGAGGTCCTTTGGCTCCCAGCCCCTCCTCCTGCTCGTGTGATCCTTCTGACCACTTATAGCTGGTGTTGATGACATTACGACCATTTGATTGCTTCTCCCATGCACGCGGCCATCCATCCATCCATCATCCTGCCTCTGGACTGAAAATTTGATAAGATAGGGTCAAAGGTGTTAGCCACGTTAATTGGGAGTCCTATGTGAATTGCTTCCAATTAACCCATTAGCCATTCTATTTCAGCTTTCAGCCTCTGCCGCTTCATCGGGATATTTAAAAAGCCTCGCATCGAATTAATTGTAATTAAAAATTAAAACGAATTCAACATTTTTAATTATGCAATTTGCCGTTCGTAATAATTAAAACAAATGTTTCCGCGCCATCCGGCCAAATCAGCCATCAGTTTGTCTCTTTCGACCGGGCTATAGCCCTCTCTTTCGTCCGCCAATGTGTCGCTCCAACCGTGAAAACGATAACAAGCCAAATTTGCCGTGATATGGTGGTGTGGGCTGGCACTGGTGGTGCGGGCTCTAGTTATCAGCCGTCTGGCACAAGGACGAACATCCTAAATGGGAGGGATGGCATTTAAACGGAGAGGATGGCATTTTTGTGTCTAATGAGTTTATTCCCAATTAGCCGCATTTGGATTTCAAAATCTGCGGAGAACTTTAAATTTTGAGAAGCAGGAAGACTGAGTTTTGTTAAGCCATTCCCTGGGAATATTATTCTGTAATATTATCCTGCAATCATTTCCCCGAATGGTCAACCTCCTCCGCCCTCTGAGGAACAACTTGAACTAAATTCACACTCATGGGGAAAATTGACTTTAAAAACTGTCATAAAACTGCAAAGGACACAGGGCTGGATAAATGCAATATACAAATGTCCTTAAACGCAGCACTTTGCTGGCAACAATTGCATTCGTCGTCAGCTGTGTGAATCCAGTGGAATTCCAAGAGTCTAAGGGACCGAGAGTCCGAGGAGGACATCGATTCCATATGTGTGTCAGTCCTGCTAGCCCCATGGCCTTCTGGCCAGGACATGCCGTTTTAGTGAAATTGCACAAAATTGTTTTCCGTTTCGTTTCATTGGGCTTCGCTTCTTTCATTGGAAATGTGCATTTAAAATTTATTGCAGTCACAAGCACAAAATTAACTGCCAGGGCCCAGTGGCCAGTGCTGACAATTGAAATAACAATTTGCCGGGAATGTAAAGTGACTTTTGGGGCCCGAGGATACGATTTTGGATTTAGGAATAGGAATCGGAGTCCGATTCGATTGAATTTGCAATGACAACATTTTGTAAACATTTGCCAACCAGTCGGCTGCAAAATATCGCATTTTCTTCGATGATGTGTGCAATTATCGGAGTTTCGCCTAAATCCAAGAGGAAAGTAAAGCAATTTTGTGGCCTCAGCTCTTCGTCACCGTCATTAGCATCTAATTCATCTTGCTCTGTGGCATCTAATGTGGGGAATGGGGCAAATAAGGATAATGTGGAAATGCCTCCGTTTGACAGGGACCTCTTATCAAATCCTTTATCAGACAGCCAGGGTTTTCCGCTTTTGATTCCTTGCCGTAGGCGAGTTTCCTGCTCAGAGTCTTGATTACACAGCAGAAAACCCATGACATCCGTACCACTTGACGTATACTTATTTAAGTTCACCCACGCAAAATCTACACTGAAGGAAATGTATGTCAAGGGCATCCCTATATTAGTAAGATTTTTAAAGTTATACCTCTAAGTATTTCTCACAGTGCTGGCAAAAAGTCAAACCCATTGAAATGTGACTACCAGTTCACGCGAAAGCAAACAACACCGCAGGGACCCATATATCAAAAATCAACAGCTGCTCTGAAGACGGGCAAAAAAAATCAAGAAAAATATAAATAAATGGAGGCGCCTTACTCACATGTGACAAAAGATAAACACAAGGAGAAACATTCTAAAAATCAACAGCAACAGCAAAAGCAAAAAAAAAAAAGGAAAAGGAAAAGCGAGTGAAAAACTTTCATGCTGGCGACATTTAAACATGGCAGGGTGGCCGATAAGAATGCAAATGAAACGACAAAGCAGCGCAGTCACGGGGCGTGGAGAGCGGGGACGGGACGGTGCGACAGCTTACATCCCCCCGAGGCAAGAGCAGCAGCTGCCACATGAGCGGAGCAATCTTAATTGTGGTTCAAAGGGCAAGCGAGCTGCAGGAAACGGGAACAGCAAAAGGCAGGAAATAAAAATCTGAAGGCAAAAAAATGGAAATTGAGATGCATATATGCAGATATACAAAGTGGCTGTAAAAAACACTATAAGATTGTAGTTGGTCACAAATTTGGGACTTGAATAGTCATACAAGCGAAGCCTTAAACACCTCAACTTTAATTTAACCCTAAAAGGTCTTTCAATATAGATATCTCTATAAAAATCAACCACAAACCAGCATGAAAAATACAAAAAAAGACGTCCAAACTCAAACACTGAGCGGATAGCAGATACAAATCCTAGCGTATACAAGTTACACCCGCTTAAGATACAATTTTCGCATTGTTAGAGATACATGGCTGACAAAAAACAAAAACAAAACCTAGAAAAATAGACCTCCAGTCAACCTAAAAAAAAAATAACAAAATGCGGGTAAAATGTGACCAAAATGCTGAAAAGGGGAGCGCGAAACGCCCATAGAAAGGGAGCCTGCTCCAAAAGGAAGAGTCAAACAAACGAAATGACAAAGTCTACCGACCCCCCTCCCTGTACACACAAAAGCCTTAACCCCAAAAAAAAACCCCATAACCCCGTAACCCGGACCACCTTGTAGAGGAAGCTTCCGTTGACAAAAAGTTTTTAACACGCATACGCCGCGTTGCCAGCGACGCCAACTTTGCGGCATTTCATTGCATACTTGCCGGCGTTGTGGCATTGCGATTCTGCGGGTGCTTGTTATTTTTGCGCTCTCTTATGAATTATTCGAATTTTATGCGACAAATCACCTGTGAAATATAAATTCCTAGCACCATTTCTGCCCGCTGCCCCCTGGGGGAATTTTCTATGGTCTACCCCACCTCTCTGTAAGCCCCCCTTGGGGAGGAGTTTTCCGACTTTCCTCCAAAAAAGCAGAGCACGTGCTGGGTGGCAAGTGCCACGTTACACCGTTAATCGTTCGTTAATCTGTCGTAAAATTTCCTGGCAAAGACATCAGGTTAAGTGGATGTAGCTGACAATTGCCTTGCGACTCTGAATCGCAAACTTTTTAATCGAAAAAAGATGTGACCTCTGACCCCTGCCGCTGTCACTGTCGCTGCCTGTCGCTGGAAAGTGCCACCCACGACGAGGACCTTGTTTTGTAATTAAGTACTGAGCGTGCTGGGCGTTATGGGAGTGCTGGTAGCGAGAAAATCTTAAAATAGCATAAAATGCGCTGCAGGGCATTAAGAACTCTTTGTAACTGGATACCGCAGAGATACGAATATATAAATATAATGAAATTCTCAAAAGTCAGAGAGGTCTCTTCCCAGAACAGAAGCTGAGATTCGTTGGTTTTCTTTGTGATTTGTCAAAGACTAAAGCCTTTGGCCCAAAAAAATTAATTGCAGACAAGAAATGTATGTAACTTGCAGATAAATGTTGTCTTCTTATGCAACACCCTTGTCACGCTTCTTGGCAGACACCGAGAGAAATAGTTTATCCTTTTCTTCCAGAAAGATAAAAGTCTTTAGCCAATCTGTAAATATTTCTCTAAGTGCGTACAAATTAACAAAGAAACATCAACACGAAGAGTCATGAGCACAAGCTCCTGCTTTTCGGGTCTTTACTGCGTCTGGCATGTGTGGATATAG